ACAGTGGACAGGCTGGGCTCTTTAGGGGAAATCCAGAGCACTGCAGAAACACTGCTGATGACTCAGGAAGTGCTTTACACCCTCCTGCTTTAGAGCAGAACTTGGTGCCCTCTCTTTACTTGGCTATCCACTGCCAGAGGGCAGGGTTAGATGGGATACTCGGAGGAAATTCTTGGTGGGAAGGGTAGTAAGGCCCTGGCACAGGTTGCCCAGAGAAGCTGTGGCTGCCCTATCCCAGGAAGTGTTCAAGGCTAGGTTGGACAGGGCTTGGAGCAACATGGGATAGTGGAAAGTGTCCCTGCCCATGGCAGGGGTTGGAACAAGATGAGCTTTAAGATCCAGCCTTCCAACCCAAAACACTCCGTGGTTCTCTGATTTACAAAAGAGGGTATGATCCTTCTTCAACACACTGTCCTTGCAGTGAGGAACCAGTGATTCTGATGGTCATGAATGCTTGGAGTCACCCCCTTTTTCAGCACTTCTACCAAAGGCAGTTGTTGTCCTTCCAGCTTTGGCCACGGTCCAGCCCGAACAATTTAGCCCAACACCTCCAGCAGCTCCGTTCACAGAAGCATTCCCCTGCTCTGGATGGATCACAGGACAGGCAGTCAGGGGCTGGAGATGCTGTTACTGGGTCAGGTGCTGAGCGATGGTTGTGCAATCCCGGGCAGCTCACGGAACCTCTGCACATCTCCTCACAATATCAGTCCGGGGGTGTTTGCTGAAGCCACAGCCTACGTAGGGCTCAGTTAATATTTGAATACGTGGGGAGTTGCTTAAATCCTAGGAATATTAAGAACCAGTGGAAGACCTTGTCACATGCTGTGTTATTCCACAATTTCCCTGTTCTTTCTCCCGTGCTCACGCTGTTGTTGCTGCTTGCCAAGAGGTTATGGATTTTTGGAGTGGAAAGTAGTACATAAACATGACTTATTGTTGCTTACGCCAACTGATTTACCATGTTCCCTAATGAAACCAACATCTCCCTTTTAGAACTTGATCCTGAAGCCAAGAACTGTTTGCTGGAATAGCAGGAACAGCAGGAGCTGATGTCAGAGTTATGGTACATGGCAATGCCTTGGGCAATACTTGGTGCAGGGGGAGTTCAGTGAGTTTTTAGCCAAAAATTCTATGAAAATGATGTTTTTGTGATGACAGTGCACACATCTGTGTAGTAGTTTGGATATACCACCCAAAAAAGCACATCTAATAATCTAAAACATGTTATATTCCAAAAGGCTTGGGAAATATGTGGTCAGATAGAGGAGCGAGACTTCACTTTTCTCAAATTACACTTTTCTTTCCCCAAAATAGAGAGATATTTTGTCATTCTCACCACTTCTTCCTAAAGTTCTCCTAACTCAGGAGGTGAAATTTGAAATTTGGGAATTTGTTCATAGGGTAGCCACCATCTTAAGGTAAATATAAGATGAAAATTTCTCAGAAGAGTTATTTTAAGGCAATGAAAACAGTTCACTACAATTGGATTCTGCCTGCAAATCTCCAGTAGCAGCTGAGTAATGGCTGCACACTGTTAAAAAAACACAAACCCACATTAATCTTCAGCTGAGCTGGATCGATAAGAACAATTTGTGAGAAAATAACTTGAGGGGAGGTATTTTGATTCAGGTTGAAATGCAAGCTATTGTCAGCACAGTGTCCTTCCTTTTACTTTATGTGGGGTTTCTCTCCATGTTTCTGGTGAATTTAATACTGCTGACAGCTGCTGAGCTCACAGCTCCAGCCACTGAGTGCTGTCTTCCAGAAAGGTGCAGCACTGCAGAGGAAGAGCTTCATCTGTTCACTGAAAAACCTTTTCAGTGCTATTGTACCAGAGAAATGAGGGGATGGTTTATAATTCTGAATGTGAAATACACTCACTTCATTGTGAGGCAGCTGATGTGGGGAAAAAATAGGAAAAGTGGGAGTTTTTCCCCAGGGAAATGCTGTGAATATCAGCTAGGTTTTGCAGTCACTGTTCATACTGTCTTTTTAACAAAAAAACACCCCAACGTTGTGGAAGACAGAACAATTGGGAAAACCTGAGGTTTTTTTACTTAACATTTAGCATAGCCTGGTGTAGACAGGAGGATCTGAGCTGGAATCCAAACCCAGCCTGTGCTCTAACCTGCTTTGTAAGTTTGGGAAATCACATCTCCTTTGCTTCCTGAAAAACTAGGGCTGACAGGGATTGCAAGAGATTATTTACCCCATCCTTCTCCCTGAGATAAGAAACGTTTCTCCCTGAACTCTTCAGAACAGATGTTTTACTAATTTCTAGTCAAATAAAAATATCCAAAGGTGATTATTCCATTTTTTTTCCTAGGGAATTTGTTCTGGTGCTCATCTACTCTTACCCTTAACCCAATGCCTAATTTCTATCGCCATTTCCAAGATGTGTAAGCTCATTATTTCTTGTCCTAGTCCCACCACATGCAGAGAAGAGCTAATTCCCTCCTGCTCTGCAGCAACCTTTTGCATATTTGAAGACAATGTAATGTCCCCTTTTGGTTATGTCTCCTCTTCTTCAGCCTAAATGCTTTGTAAATTGTTCTAAGGCCAGGATGAAAATGCTCTCTGGCTCAATTTTTAAAGGGCTCTGTTCCAGCACAGTCACTGAGTCTGAAGCAAAAGCATTTTCCAAAGCATCATTTTCTCACTAGGGATGGGGAACTGTGCTGATCCCAAAGGCTATGTCCATGCTGTCATTCCAACTGCTCCTAACACCTTCCTCAAATCCAGACTCTCCAACTGTCTGTGCTGTCGACACGCAGACATGGGTGAAGGCTGAGATGAGGAGGGAAAGGTCAAGCGGGTCTCGGTGTGGATCTAAGTTTCCTTCTCACAGTCTCTGCGGATTATTTATGAGAGGAACATGTGATAGCCCAGCCTGTCAGCAGATACTCTGATTGTGGCTCTCCCCAAGCACCATATGGATGCTTTCAGCCAGAGCTGCAGCCCTGCTAACAGGCGGTTTGTGGATGCAAACCACCCGACACACAGAGCTCGGAATTGTCAGCCCTGGCACCAGGACTCACCTGTACACCCCAAAAAGAACACTATGTGTTTTTTACCAGGGCTCATCCTCCTGCCTTTAGCCCGTAGAGATGATTTTGAGAGCATGGTGCAATTTCCTCAGCCTGGAAAATGTTTTTTTTAAAGGTGGACATTTAAATAAAGAAGAATCCTGTTAACACAGAAATCTGAGGTTGCTAGTTTAAGTTGCAGATGTATCAGCCTTCTGCTGATCATCCACATGTCTCACCTGTTATCCCTGGGCAGTGATGTGATGGACAGAGAATTCATACACCTTAAGGCTGTTTTTCCTTGTTAGTCACAATTTTAATGACCTCATAATTATACACCACCGGAACTGTATGACCCTGAATCACAAAATTAGGTAATGAACACTCATTCCTGCGTGGAACACAGCTTCACTCCAACTTCAATGTTCATCATTCCACCCCAAGAATGCAAAAACACTGCTAATCTCTAAAATGGTTAGAAAACTGCCCTTCTCCCTGTACTCCTAAGGATACTGCTGGCTGCAGCTTCCTGTCCCTTAGATTGCACAGCAAGATCATGTAGCCCTATTGTTGCAAAATCATCCTTAAATTTCAAAACACAGTGCCAGGAACGTATGTGAGAGAAAGAGAAAGAAAAAGAGATGCAGCTGAAAGGCTCCAGCCAACAGCTTGTGTCAGAAAGCTGCTAAGGAGGAAACAGTTGGGCAGTTTTAATCACAACGCGGAATCTGCGACTGAAATTGTGATTTAATCAATTCCTCACAAACCGCACAAGACAGGGTGGTGGCTTCCAAGAGAACTGGAACACCTGCTCCTAAAATTTTGTTCCCCAAATGTGAACTTTACCATACACTTATGTCAATGTGATGGCAAACTGATGGCAAATCATTAAGAGCACATGTTGCTGAGGGGGGACATGGTGGGCCACTCCAAGGTGGTCATGGCTGCGTGTTCGTGGAACCATGGAATAACGGAATATCAGGCTGGAGGAGACCTCAAGGTCCAACCTTTCTTGGCAAAAGCACAAGATGACTCTGCTAGACATGGTGGCTGAATCTGAAAAAGCGTCCAGTCTCGTGGAGAATCCACCACTTTCCTGGGGAGATTATTCCTTTTTGTCACGGAGGGGGGGACTCTGTCAGGGCATCCCGAGGCAGCCATGGCGTTGTGTCACTGAAGGGGTACCCTGACAAGGTGCTCTGACGCGACCATGCTGTGTGTTGCTGTGGGAATGCACCGTCAGGGCACCGAGGCACCCATGGCTGTCGTTTGCTGAGGGGGGCACTGTCAGGGCGCTCTGAGGTGGCCATGGCTGTTCATCGCTGATGGGGTACCAGTGCCGGGGCACTGTGAGGAAACATGGCTGTGTGTCGCTGAGGAGGAACGTGGCAGGGCACCGAGGTGGTCACGGCTGTGCGTCACTGAGAAGGGACACGGCAGTGCACTGAGGAGAGACACTGTCAGGGCACTGAGGCAGCCATGTACGTGTGTTGCTGAGCAGGGACACTGACAGGGCACTCTGGGGCAGCCATGGCCTGGTGTTGCCAAGGAAGCACACTGAGGTGGCCATGGCTGCGTGTCGCTGAGCAGGGGGCACGTCAGGGTGCTCTGAGGAGGCCATGGCTGTGTGTCACCAAAGAGGAACGAGGCCTGACACTGCGGTGACCATGGCTGCGTGGTGCACTGAGGTGCAACGCTGCCAGGGCACTGCGAGGCAGCCATGGCTGTGTGTCACTGAGGAGGAACATGTCAGGGTGTTTCAAGGCAGCCACGGCTGTGCGTTGCTGTGGGGATACACTGTCGGAGCACTCTGAGGCGGCCTTGGTTGCGTGTCACCGAGAGGTGACATCGCAGGGCACCGGGGCCGGCCATAACCACACACCGAACAGACCCGGCGGCCGCTGCCGGCCCCGCCACGCTCAAGATGCCGGCGGCGGCGAGGCGGGGCCGGGCGGTGACGCGCGGGTCAGCTGACGGCCGGGCGGCCGCGGCGGCGGCGGGGGGCGGGCGCCGGCACTCGGGGGTGTCGCTGCCGCCGCGCAGAGCCACCGCCGGGCCGCGCCGCGCCGAGCCCAGCCGCCGCCATGCCCTCGGAGAAGAGCTTCAAGCAGCGCCGCACCTTCGGTGAGCGCCCCGGGGAAGGGACGCGGCGGGGAGAGCGCGGGGGGAAAAGGCCCGCTCCGGCCCGGCCGGGCTGCGGAGGCGGCGCTGGCTGCGGGGACGGGGGAGTATCGGCGGAGCGGAGCGGGGAGGGGCTGGCGGCGGGGAGATCCTCGGGCAGCCCCTGTTGACAGCGGGCCCGGTGTCGCCCCGGTGTCCCGGCCTGCTCGGGGCTGAGGTGGAACCAAACCCCGGCCCGGCCTCAACGGCTTGTTTACCCCGCGGACAGCCCGGCAGTGGGGGCCGGGGGGGTTCGGGGTGCCGGGGCTTTAGCGGGGTGTGCGGTGGCAGCAGTGCCGTGCCCGGGATGAGATCTGGGCTTGGCGTGGGGAGAGCTCCTCAGCACATTATCCATTATCGACTGCAAAACTCCCAGGAGCCTGGAAACATCCCTGGTGTGTGTGCCAGGAGCTGGGCCTGCCCTTCCCTCCGGTGTCTGCTCAGTGTCCGGCGGCCTCTGCGCCAGTGGCAGCGGAACTGAAGCTCCGCTCGCAGTCGGTGCTGGCGCGGGGTGAGGATTTCTGTGCCCGGGGAGCTGCGAGGGGACCGGGGCGTGGGGCTCCTGTCTCTGCGTGGTCACTGAAAACCAGCAAGGCATCGAAAAGAGCTGTGTAATGATGGCTGGGAAAATGAGATTAGCCCCTTTCGAGAAGGAACAGCCTTGATTAGAGCGGTGCCAAGGCTTGTGTGTGTGCTCGGGATGGGCCCAGAGCAGTCGGAGGGCTCGGTACTGCTCATGTGTGTCAGTAAGGTAGGCTGGAGCGCTCCGAGGGTAACAAGAACTGGCAGCGTAACCTATTTCTGCATGAACTACGAAATCCCGTACGGGAGATGGAATTGGTGGAAGTAATTGATCCAGATTTTCCTTTCTTTCTGCCTTTGGGTTAAAGTCAAGCTGCTTAAAAGAGCTTTGTGATGTGCCCACCCTTGCCTTTGCTGTGCTGTAAATGCGAGCTATTCCCTGCATTGAAGCGGGGAGAATTTTGGTCTAACAGAGGCTGTGTTTATGCTGCCCCCTTTTTTGGAGCTTTCCAAAACTGTTGTTGACCCCATCGCCTGTCAGCAGCCTCTGTGGCAGGTATTAAGTTCAGCTAGGATGGCAGCCAAGCAGTTGCCACTGCAACTAATGTCGTCAGAGAACAGTGTTTATCTGTGGCTGACTGAGGCCTGATTTTGAACATGCCGCATACAATAATCTCCATGATTTGTCCGGTTTATGTCCCTCCTCCTCCCGGTAGTTCTGCTAAGTAACATTGCCAGGAACAGACCTGTTTCAGCTGAGAAGTTAGTCTGACCTCTCTGCACTTGCCAGGTTGATGGTTGGTTCTCACTCACTCCCCGTATCTCTTGTGTTTCTGGTTAATCTTAAAAAGTGTTTTAATGAGGTAGAAATCTCTGCCCTTGAAGTGTTCCTGCTGGGCTGTGGGAGCGTGGCTCGGGATGTGGGGCAGGGTGGCTTTCAGGTGAAGGCTTTGCATGCTCCTTGCCTTAGTTCTGCTTGATTCACCTCCACCTTCAAACCGTGATTCACATGAGTTGCATTTCCTCGTGAGAAGGCACACGGATGTGTTCCATGGACACAAACATGGGCTAATGGAGACTGAGTGATGTTGTTGCCGAGTGACGGGACGGGCAGTGTCCTGCCATTAGCATTCCAGCAGGGAGCTGGGCTGAGTGCTTCTCTGCCCTGAGCAGCACCTCTCCCTAGGCAGGTGTGTGTTAGAGCCGTGATGCAACACTAAATCATCTCTCTGAAGGCTGTTTGTAACGTGGAGATGGCCTGGAAAGCCCCGTCCCGCTGAAAACAACCAAAGGGGTTAAAATTGAGTTCACTGAATCTGAAAGTAGGCAGGGGATACACAGCAGCCTCTGAAAGCGACTGGCCTGTTTACTCTGCCTCTTGTACTTTAGCCTGGTTCATATCTGTTCTAATAATATTTCTGTCTGAGGAGAGGTGAACTTTATCCTGAAGGCTGGCACAGAGAGGGGCAAAGTGTGCCAGGTACCTCAGGACCTCCAGCAGCTCCTGCAGCAACGGGTGTGGCACAGTCAAAATAAAACCTGGAATTCAGTAACACGAGAGTGCACGGTGAAAGCTGACCCAGCCAGGCTTCGGCCAGTCCTGGGACTCGGATAATTGTTGACCATTTCCTCTTCTGGGATCTCACAGAAATAGCACAGGGTATTTAGGCGTTAACTTTGGTGGTGTAATTTGAGGCCGTAAATTTATGAGGTGAAATGTCTGCCTCAGTGGGCAGAAAGTGAGGGGACTGGGGAGGAAACGACTTCTTTTAACACTTTCTAGGAGTGCCGGGCAGGTGCACACAACACTTGTCACCTTGGGTTAAAGAGCAGAGGATCAGCTGTCACAGGAGAGGTTGTACTCCTTGACAGCACTGTCCCATTTGGAAACTGCTTTGCCTGAATTCCCTCTTCTGGGTTTTCCTGACATGCAGTCTCTCTCTTCAGTGCTGAGGAAATAGGGAATAACAGCATTAACTGGATGCTTAAACAGATTTTTTTTTATTTTTTTAAATCTCTTGCAGAGCAAAGAGTGGAAGATGTACGACTGATTCGAGATCAGCATCCAACTAAAATACCAGTAAGTTCAATTCTTTCTATTTTTCCCTTCAGTTTCCAGTCTCATGTTCTTTTTAGCAGTTAGAAAAGGCTGTTGTGAGGAGACCAAATGAAAACGTGGCTGTTCAGGGTGGTTAAACCTGGGTTTAAGGGACATTCTCAGAGGAGTAAGCTCAGTGTGGTGGAACAAGGTGCTCTCTGGGGAGGGGGGAAGGGGGTTTCCGGTGTGTTACAGTTTTGTGTTGTAGAAAACCACACTCCAGCTGAGCTCTGAGATCCTTCTGAGTGCTCAGCTCCTCTCTCTCAGTGGTTTTCTCCTCCAAAAGAAAAGTCTGCACAGACTCATCAAGAAGAATACACAGATATGGATTTGATCAGCGGTCTGTGCTGAGAAGGACAGAAATGCTTTTCTTCTGGGAAATGGGGCTGTGCTTGAGGTCTCCAGCAATGCTGCTGGGCTGTCAAACTCCTCCAGCTTTCCTCACATTGGATATCAGCCCTCACCTTATCACTCTTTAGCTGGTCAGCTCCAAATGCTGCCTGAATTTGTGTTTTCTTTTATTTATGGCATCCTCAAAGTTAAAAATGCAAACCATCCCAGGAAGCAAAAGGCATGGATCGTGTTCTGTTGCTGATGACTTGTTCAGCAGAGAGAACTTAATTGTACCCTCAGCCTTTGGCTCTGTGGTGAGAGCTGGTGATCCCTGTGTCTCCTGTGAAGAAACTGCTGCAAACTGTCCACGGTCCCTGAGCAAGTTCACTGACAGGAGCTGTTGTGGAAACAGAAACCAAAAGGTTTCCAGCTTTCCTTTGGCTCCAGACTCCTTCACCTGGGAGCTGTCGCTGCTGCTTTGCTGTGCACTTGGGCAGGGGAACAAGTAGTACTTTATAGCAGAGATTTTCTGACTTTTTTGGAACGTTTCATTTTCCCACAAGGCACTTTCCTAACAAATCTGTTTCCTGACCAAAATTGCTTTTTCACTCACCTTTCACAGCCCACTTGGCCAAAGTCCCCAGCTCTGACCACAGGTTGAAAGCCGTTGATTTATGGCAAAACTCTCATTTTAACTCAGCCATGCACAGATGACAAGCAAAAATTCCAAGGTACCTGAGGATGTGGTGATGCAAACTCCCAGCTATCCCAGGGGCCTGCTGGCATCCCTGGAGCCTTGCTGGGCCAGTCACTGCCTCGTTATTGTCATTAGCAGTTCTGGATGAGATAAGGTGGCAATGTCACCCTAGATAGTAAATCCCTCCTGTGCTGTCAACATCCGTCATCCTGCTGTTGGAAATACCTATTGGTTATGGTCTGACTTCTTAAAAATAGTGTGGTTTTGTTTTCCAGGGTGAGCCAGCATTTATTTAAACTGATGTAAGGATCTTTCTCTGATATAATTAAATTGGCCCAATGTCTCTTCACCTGTGCAGCTTTTTAATATCAGCACAGCCAGACCCCGTGAGCATGGAAAGGGTCCAAATGGCTGGTGTCACGTAGCTGCTGTTGATTTAAAACCAGCAAACCCCACGTGGCTGTGGAAACAGGAGCACACAAACCCTGAGATCATTTCTCAAAAGCAGGAACTATATTCAGTTGCTGGGCAGGGTGTTCCTTAAATTGGGAAATCTGCAGTTTCTCTGTGAATTGAGTGGTTACTGCATAACAGTTCTGTCAGAATTACTGGTTCCTGAACGTGCTGTCTTGAGGAAATTCTCTCCCTAACTTGGAGATTTGAGGGTTTATACCCTTTGAAAGTAGCTTTTTCTCATGCATTAGAGTAGCCATGGAAGGTGAATGAAACAGCAGAGTCATCTGGAGGTGCAGTTCTTAGACTGAAACTGGAGAAATGGCCTGAAACTGGAGAAATTCTAGGGAAAACTGCTTCAGCTGGCACACTTCCCCTGGTCAGCCACTGCATTGTGTTAGAGGGAAGTGGGCTTGATCTTTCCTTGGATTTCCTTGTTGCTGGGTAATTCAGTGCTGGATTAAATGATTCCAGGAAAGGAACTGTTCTAAAGCTGCACTGAAGCTGGGGAAGTGTGCTGTAAAATGCCTGTGTGCTACCCCTCCATGCAGTGACCCTTGCAAACAGAACAGAGGAGCACGTGAAGATAATTTAATTATCATAGAAACATACATTTTTTACATTAGAAAAGACCTTTAAGATCATGGAGTTAATTGTTCCTTTTCAGGTTTGAGATGCTGCATTCACAAATGAAGGGAAATGGAGCTTGGAGGGGGGAGGTGAGGGCACCAGACACTGTCCCTGCCTTTCACATCTGCTCCTTTCTGTTTGTGTTTCCTCTTAGGTGATCATCGAAAGGTACAAGGGAGAAAAGCAGCTTCCAGTTTTGGATAAGACCAAGTTCCTGGTGCCGGATCACGTCAACATGAGCGAGCTAATCAAAATTATCAGGTAGTGTGCTGGGGTTTCAGTGTGAGCTGCATCAGGCTTGGACTGGGATGTTCTGTGAATTCCCCACCAGGTATATGCACTTGGGAACTCTGAATGGAAAATTCATCTACTGAGCACTAGGACAAATCCAGGAGAAGGTGCTTTTCCTTTAGCTTTTCTGGAAAAAACCCACTCTGAGAAGAGCTGAGCTGTTAGTCTGCTTCCAGGAGAAATAACTGGTTCCCAGAGCTGTAGGAGGGAGTCTGGGGCTGTGAATCCCTGTCTAACGTGGGTCCTCCTGGCCCAGGGCTCCGGCACTTCCTGCGTGGCTATTTTGGGATGCCTTCTCAGTGTTCTGCCATGGAGTCCCCCTCTGGAGTGCCTGCCTCTTCCCACCCACTGGGAAGGGGAGGTTGGGCTCGTAGCCAGAGCAGCTTAGGGATGCTGTTGGCATTCTTTGGGAAAGGAGGCTTCCCTCAGGGACAGCGCTGAGGCCTGGAAAACACCCGCTCAGGCCAGTCTTTCTGCCCTGGCTGTTTGCACAGAGTGGCTTGAGCTCAGTTTACAGGAAAGGCAAAGGGAAACAGCCTCGGTGTGGAAGTTGTGTGGTCAGAATTGTGGTCAGAGGTTCTGGTGAAGTGCATTTCTGCTGGCTCAGCGGGACTGTTGGATCAGGAGTTCTCCAGTGGTAACTGGGAAGTGAGGAGCAAACCAGAGTTTTTATGTTGGTCATGGTATAGCAGGAGCTGGTTCATGGAGGCCACAGGCTGGGAAAACTGAGAGTTGTGCAGGGTGTCAAAACAAAAACTTTCACAAGCAAATCCCAGCTCCTACATGAGTAAGAAAGGGAGATGGGGTTTTGGAGGCAGGAACCAGGTTGCTCAAGTCTTCCAGAATTTCTGAGGAACATAAAAGGCCCTGGGCAAAGAGGTTAACTGCAAGCTGAAGGATTTTCCCACTTTTTTCCTTTGGCTTTACTGTTAATATATAACTTAGTACCAGCTAGACTTGGGCCTCAGCCAGCTCCAGTGGTGCACAGCAAAGCCTGTCCTTCCCAGCCCTTGGAGAGCTGCTGCCTTTCCTCAGCCTGCTGTCTCTGGAGTGATTAGAGCCTGGTTTTGGAAGAGTCCCTGTCCAGGGCAGTGGCTGGAAACTAAATAAATCCTTGTTTCCAGCTGCTGCTGCCTCTCAGCAGCAAGTGGGAGCAGCAGGAATCTCTTCAGATCTGTTCTTTCCTCCTTTCTTTCCACATACCCTATTTCCTCTTGCTCACTTGGTTAATCAAGTGGTAAGAGAGCCCCTCTCTGCAAACCTGCTCTCCAGGAGGCAGTTTAGCAGAAATACCCATTTCCCCCCAGCTGGAATGATCAATCCAAGGGAAACCCAGAAATGAGCTGCTCACTGTGCCAGGCAGTCTGTGCAGCCTGTTGCTCTCTGCCCTCCCCACGATGCTTCTCCTGGGAAGGGAGGAGAAGAGGGAGCAAGATGCTCCAAGGTTAAGCTCTGGCTGTTGCACAGCTGGTGGCAAAGGGAGTTAATTTAAAAGTTTGCCAGGTTTTTCAAGGAACCGTCCTCCCTCCCCATCTTCCCACGGATCTCTGGGTTTCATCCCAGTGAGATGCTGTTGAGCTGCAAGCCAAAGGTCCTGCAGCGTGTTTGCTGGTTGTACTGGGATCGCCAGGGCCAGGAGTGCCTCTTCCTTGTCCCTCCAGTTCAATGCCCTTCTGGAACATCACTTTTCCCATGAGTAAGGGCTCTGTCAGTGGATACAGGTGACTGGATTTAGTGGATAAATTTAGTAGAGCTTTGGGGTGGGCAGTCTCCTGCTGGGGCAGGGCAGGGTGGGAACATACAGGGAAAGGTGTGGAAGGGCAGAACCAGATGAGCTTTAAGGTCCTTCTGACCCAAAGCATTCCTGAATCTATGATTCCGTGGTATGTCTTGCTGCTGTCAGTGTCGGAGGCCTGTCCTTTGCCACGTGTCCTTTGCTAAGGCGAGTGGAAATGCTCACTGTGCCCCTCCTTCCCCCTCATCCCCCTTTCCCAGGCGACGCCTGCAGCTGAACTCCAACCAGGCCTTCTTCCTGCTGGTGAACGGACACAGCATGGTGAGCGTCTCCACGCCCATCTCCGAGGTGTACGAGAGCGAGAAGGACGAGGACGGGTTCCTGTACATGGTGTACGCCTCCCAGGAGACCTTCGGAGCGCGACCTTCCGCCTAGGACACGCCTAGGAGCGGCTGCTAGCCTAGGATTTTGGTTGACCCTTGGCCATCACCCCCACTCTTCCCCACACACCCCCCAGGGAAAGAACCGGATGTCACCTACGCTCTCAGTCCTTTAGCATAGTCTTGCTTTAGCAGGTGTCTCATCTCACCTTGCCTTGTTTGTGACTATTAAACAGTACAGACGAGCACCTCCAGCTTTGAAACCTGCTGTTAATAATACTCCACACAGGCACATTTCCATTTCCGGACCTGCTGAAAGGAGCCCAATTGTGCATGTGACAATTGCAGAGAAAGGGACACTCGATTGACTTTTAACAAGCAAACAGGCACCAGGGAGGAGCTAAAGTGTTTCCTGGGAGTTTGCTGCAAAATCTCCCTATGATTCCTTAAATTTATTATTTTTTTTTTTTCAAATGGGAAGGTTTCTCATGAGAGCAAATGCATTTTAATGTTCCAAAGGGGAGCTTTGTCTTCTGCAGCTCCATCAGACTCGTGCTGCAGGGAGTTGAGGCAAGGGCTTGGGGTGAGCTGGGGGAGGACAACTCTTTGTGTCTCCGGTTTTTGGGCACCGCACACTTGGGGCGGTGCCGGTTTCTGGAATACTCATACCAAACACCACAGCTTTATTGTAGTTTTAGGAAGTGTCTAATTGTAAAATACACACCTGGACAGGTAACTTTGAAATAAACTCCAGTCTGTTATGAATTTCCAATCCCTGTGTGTTCAGTGAACCACTGCTGTTCATCTGAGCTGGCTTCCAGTGATCCATATGATCATTCCCCACCCCTAGCCTGAAGGTTTGCCATTCCCTTGCCTGGGGGTCAGGGAGAAGCAGCTCAGGCCCGGGAGTCACTGTCGAGAGCTGAACAAATGAATTTGGGCATCACTGGAGCCTCCTGCCCAACCCCTGCAGGGGGTTGGGAAGCTCCCGGTGTTCCTCGAGCAGGGAGCAGGCTGTGCAGAGGAGAGTTTTCCCGTAGGACAAATCTGTGTTTTCCTCTAGTCGTCGTCAAGTGAAGCGTAGCGGGATGAGATTCCCGGTGTATCCGGTGTGTGTGCACTAACTCGTGTGTCACTGGGAGCTCACCTACTCTAACGGGGGAGAGAAGCAATACTACTGCGTCTGGCACTCACCAAGTGTACACGTTGTACCTACTACACGTTGTACCTACTCCACCTCTTTGCATGCATCTCCTTCCCAGGGCCTACTGCCCATTTTTTATTGTCCTTTGTGTTTTTACTCCGACGTAAACTTTTCGATGCAGCTTGTTCTCTGTTTAGTTCTGTTCGTGTAAGAACTTGTTTAACTCATAACTGACCGTACTTGTAATTACGACGTGATCGACTGATATTCCTGTACAAATGTTGCTTTTTTAAAATTAATACAGTGCTGATATGGATGGATTACATCCCAACTTAATTATGGCTTGCGTGGTTATTCATAGAACTTTCTGAAATGCAGAGACAGCAAAGTAATAAAAGGAATGAAAAATAATTCCCTAATTGCCAAGCTGGAGAAGCCCCCACACAGCTGAATCCCCTCTAAATGAAAACCAATGCCAACAGATTCTGTTTAACTCTTTATTTTCCATACATTAAATTTACTCAGATAAAAACATTCTAAAAATGTACAATTTAACTTTTAACAAAGTATAATAAAACATAAAAATCCCAATACCAGAATACTGGACATTTACAATTCAAAATCAAATTAGCTGAATATTAAATATTTACAAAACTATTTAAAATATTTATAAAGTTACATGCAGAATTTTGTAATACTAGAAGTGATCGAAGTAAAAGAAATGGCTCAAATGGAGCAGGAATTTCCTTCATTCCTAATGGAAAGTTATGTCCAAGAGAAGCTGTTAATCTGCACTTGAAAACACACGGGATTTGCTTTCTGCTTCAGTACCAACACGGTTCTTGCGTACGACAGGAAAATTGAAGGGAGCAAACGGGTAATTCCAAGGGTTTATCACAAGAGCTGTGGGGCCTCAACCAGCCAAAATGATTGCTACTCACAAGAGCTCCGTTATGTGGATTTTTGTCCAGATTTGCCCACATTCCTCCCATTTAACAGGTGTTCCAGACTACCCCGGCCCTCCGGCACACACAGAGCTCGCACAGCTGAGGGCAGTTGGATTTTGGGGAGGAGCGCTGCTCTGCCAGTACCACAGCCTGGTTTATCCAGGGCTGTCCCGGGGCAACTCCACACGGAACTGGCCAGCGAGGAATCGGAATTTGGGGGGGTAGCCAAGGTCTGGTGCTGGACTGGTATTTTCAGAAGTCTGGCGCTTCATTTGCCAAGTTTTAATGACCGTGGGATGGAAAGGTTTCACAAAAAGCTGAGTGTGACAGAGCTGGTTTGAATGAAACCAGTTCTGGTAAACTTAGAAACTTCCGTAACAGTTTAAATGTAATTTTAAATAGAAGAAGGGTGGAACCCTCTGACCGGTACCTCAGTTCCCTCCTTCCTCTCCTGCTGCTGGGGCAGAGCCTGGCATATTCATCAATGCTTCATTTGCAGGGTGGGGAGGAGGAGTTTGCTGGAAATTCCATCCTATTTTGAGTCCTTCCATCAGCAAATGGAAAATGCAGCTGAAACTGCACTGCACGCTGCTCTCTCCCCTGGGAAAGGCTCCTCGCTGACTCCTCACCTCCCTGCAGGGAGATGACTGGGGATTCCTTTCCCCCTCACACTGAAAAATCATTCCTATTCCACAGTGAAATCCATTTGGAGAACTAATTCTTTTTATACATATAAGACAAGGATAGGACTAAGTAACATTCTTTGAAATCACCATCTTTCAATGTACAAAAATAGGGTTTAAGAACTGGTTCCTTCAGGCAGGGCAGCTGGAACTACCATTCCAAACCAAACTGCCTTGCTTTGTAGGGTAAAAAAGATGGATTTGTGCCTTGTAAGGACAGATTAAGGATTATTTTATGGAACTAAGGTGCTCTGTTCAGACTTACCACCTTTGGTTGTTCTGGGTACAAAGTGGAGGGTGTTCACTGGCAGGTCTGAAGCCACAACTCGCTGGGATTTAGGGAAGGCTCTGAGGTTGCTGCTGGCTCACCAAACTTTTTCCTCTGACACTCGTGTTGCCTCCAGGTACTTCTGGATTTAAACTTACTCTAAAACCAGACCCAACCATTCCAAAGCATTACCCAAACACACCCATGAGCCACCTGAAGAAACATCAGCCTTAGCTTTACACAAAGGAAACAATCCCAAAGGAAGGAATGAAACAGTTTGCTGGAAACATCAGCCTTAACTCTACACAAAAGAAATGATCCTAAATAAATAAAGAAAGCTGTGGAGAAAGGAATGAAAGAGTTTGCTGGACAGAAGTTCAGTTCTACAGTCCTTTTGATATGATTTCAACTCTGTGATGAATCTCAGACACGGCTGTGCCCAGCCTTGGGCAGTAAAACAAAACACAACTGGTACAGAAATGACACTTTTTTTTTTTTTTTGCTGTTTCAAGAGGGTTTTTAACACGTGTGTTGAAATACAGTTTCTTTAAATACGATTTTAAAATACTGTTTAAAAAAAGTGAAAAAAAAAAAATAATAACAACAACGTTAAGTTTGGCTTTCAGCACATGTTCCAGGCCACTGGAGAGACCCTCAAAGCTGCACATCGTAAACATGGAACTGCACATTTCCTCGGGCATGATGCAGTGGGACAGACTGTTCCTACCATTGTCTCGAGCTCATTAAGGCAAAGTAAATTGCATTGTCAGTTTTCATCCCTTTAGTGTTGTAGGTCTGAAGGTTGTTTGGGGAACACAGGGAACGTCCTCAAACGCAGGCATAGCCAACAGGGAGCATGAGCTGGGCTGGGAATACATAAATCAGGGGGGTTCTCATTGCATAGCAGGAACAATTAGTTTTTTGTTGTTTGTTTTTTTTTTTTAAACCAACTGTTCTGCAAATTTAGGTTTTGGGTTTCCCAAAGCTGTGAGCTGCAAGTCCCTCTCTGGGCCGAGTGTGGGTTCTGCCCACCCCACGTTCCCGTGCCTCTCCTGACACTCAGTGATCCCACCTGCCTTCCCAGCCAGGCTGAGACCGCCCTTGGAGAGAGCGGGACACAAGGATGGCCCAGAACGTTCCTTTCCTATGACCTTGGCCCAGGGAGGTCTGAACTCTCATCCCCCTCACACCGCCCCGTCTCTGCACCGCTCCCAAACCCTCGTGCTCCGAGAGGACTTCCCGAGTGAGAGTCACTGCGCCACTACAAATCCTATGGATTCATCCTGCTGTGGTTTAGAAGAGTGTAAGGAATACCTCCAAGTGTAAACAAGGCTTCAGACTTTAAAGGTGTCTCCCAAATTACAGGATGCAAATATCTCTGTCAGGCATTTTTAAAGAGAAGGCCTCACCCATTTAATGCCATCAAATTCCCGGCGGGAGCCATGAGGATTAGGATCTTCTTTCAACCAGACAGGACCAAAGTGTTTCAAATTAGCAGTTCGAGATGGGTTTGGCTTCCTCTCGAGTCCTAATTTAGATTTGTCACCCACAAATGATGGACTAAGTAGTTTAACACCAAAGCTACTCATCTACAACCTACTGCAACGAAGGAGGCCGACAAGAAATCCTTCCAAGTCTTGATAATAATGAAGTTTTACTACCTTTTACATGTTTGACTCCCACCACTCCTGAATCCTGGGGTAGGAGTCAAAGGGTATTTTTATATAAAGTAAAGCAAAAGCTTATAAACTCTGCTGCCAGAGTTCTTGGTTGGTTGGTTTGTTTTTAGGATGGTTTAAAATTCATTTACAAAAGCAGAATAATAAGGTTTCTGTGAAAGAGACCTATATACAGTAACAGGACGTAAAGGTTTTGTGTATTACAGGAAAATATCCTTGAAGCCTTTATGACTCTGGAGTCTCTGGGACTTGGACCCTTGGAAACTAAGTTTATTCCAGTGCTGGGAACTCAGCACTAGATGGCAATAGGTGAGACAATGAAGCACAAGTTTGTTTCCAGAAGGAACCGAAACTGTCGTGTGTGTTCTTTTGGAAGGGAAAGGAGAGACTTTTTAGGATTTTTATTGTGGAATTAAGTCCCATAAGCCTGCTGGTGCCAATTTGTAAAGGTTGGAACTTCTTTGCCTCTTGCACTGGTCTCAGAGTGACACTGTCTGCTAAAAGTGCAGAAAGCTTGAAGAGTTTTACATTCTTCTGTAGTGCAATCCTTAAAAATCCCAGAGATTAGTGCCTGATCACTTTTGAAAAAAAGTAGACATTTTACCTAGCCCAGGGGTGCCAAAGTCCTTCTGGCCACTCCTACCTTCCTCCTCCAGCTTCCAACTCCGAGCAGAGCTGCCCTGGAAAAGTTTCACCTCAGAAAGTCCACATATGGCAACATTCTCCAGCTAAAAAATGTACATTGGCTGTTGTACTTGCAACAGAAATGCAGCTGGACAGCTCCACCATCCATCACCCGTCCGTCCGTCCGTCCAGAACGCATCGGTCCGAGGACACATAGTCAGGAGTTCCAATGAGATCCAAGCTCGAATTTGGCAATCAAAACTGGGTTGGATGCACCCCTAAGCTAGATTTTCTACCTAGTCTAATAAAGTAAAGCACCTTTGGATTAAAAAATACATTAAGCTTAACAGCAACTGGACGTCTCAGTTTTGCAGTTCAATCTCCGTCGTTCTCCATGGCTTTTGGCATCTTTGTGCCAGGTGGGAAAACATCAGTCTGTGGAGTCCAGACTTTCGGAGGGAGGAGCATATTTCAGCCTGAACGTACCTGGGGAGAGGAACAGAGGAATTAAACATCAACCTTCCACATCTTTTACATCTCAGAACTTCCCAAACCAACCCACTGCTTATTAGACATGGAAAGTGGTACTCGAGAATAACATGGCTTGGATGGAGTTCTAGGGCTGGCAAAAATTTGTTTCATGGAAACACAGAATCACGGGATGGTTTGGGATGAAGGGACCTTAAAGATTACCCAGTTCCACCCCTTGCCATGGGCAGGGACACCTTTCACCAGCCCAGGTTGCTCCAAGCCCTGTCCAACCTGGCCTTGGACACTTCCAGGGATGGGGCAGCCACAGCTTCTCTGGACAACCTGTGCCAGGGTCTCACCACCCTCACAGGGAAGGATTTTCTTCCAATATCCCATCTAGCCCTGCCCTCTGGCAGTGGGAAGCCATTCCCCTTTGTCCTGTCACCCCATGCCCTTGTGAAAAGTTTGGGAAAGTTTAAATGGAAATTTAATTAATGAAATGAAATCCATCTTAAAAACACATCAGAGCCTGCTGCATTTCCCAGTCAGGACTGACAAGGCAGCAGCACTGCTTCCCCTTGGCCACTATAAAAACATTCACCACAGGAATTCCACTCATTATTTACCTTTTAGTGCTGCTGTAAATTGCTACCCCAATACCTGA